TAGATAATGAAATGTATACTTTGGTCAGTTTTGAAGAAGCGTAAGCAGTGAAAAGTACATGATTAGGAAATGTACGTGGCCCTCGCGGAAGTTTAAACCGTAATATTAAAGCAAACATGTCAATTTAAAATGTAAAAAATAAATTATAATTTAACCTCTCCAACTTTGCTTTAACTGTTATTATATTTAGGCCTACCTATTCAGAATTTACCGAATTGACGAAATACTCTAGTATAAGTGTAGGTTATCTTGCCAACTCTTTGGTATAAGATTGTGTTACTGTTACCTTATTTTATGTGTATTTTGTTAACACTTTCTTAGTCTAAGTTTTGCCCAGATGTTACAGCAGGCGGATAAAATATTTGTCATCTGATGCTAGGCTCAACAATTTATTATTTATTATGTATGATTAACCGTTTAACTGGCCACACTACTTGAAAAAGTGACCAGTCTACATTTCTCAACAATTATTATGTTTGTAAAGTGTTTTGTAATATGGGAAATAAATTCATTTATTCATTTATTCATATTATTTACGAGTATAACTGCAATAAGCATTTCATACTTATACGCCAGCCCCGTAAAGAAGGACGGGCACTCTGCTAGTAATTAATATACTGTAGGATTATTACTAAGATGTTCAGGGGTCCTTAAAATAATTATGGGGGCCCTTATATTTGGGAGTTGGTATTGTGGTGGCTTGAAAAGAATTATTAGGTTTATTTACAAATTACAAATATGTGAGGACAAATTAAGTGTAGGGAACATTTAATAAGGGAATTAAATATTAAAATTACACATTAATGGGGAAATTAACACTACCTAACGATAACGAATGATATGAAATGTAATACTATAAAAATTTTAATTGTATGAACAACGTACTTCCATAATATGTCATTTCAACAGACAAATTCAATCTTATAATAAAATAACCTACTCCCGCCGCAGTAAACCTGCAGACTAAGCTAATTTTCGCTTACCTAGCAAGATTTACACAAAAATATTCCCTTAAAACTGTCTAATGATAGTGATTTAATGATTACCTAAGTTTGCTGCTAAAGTGATAGTAAAGAGGTGTGTTTGCTGGTTAAAATGTCGATAGCTTGAAAAAAAATTTCCCCGATTAGTATCCGTCAATAAACAAGCAAACTACAACAGTTGATTAAAAAAATAAAAATAACAAAGAGTAATATTTACTTTACCATTTTTATTGAATTGTATCTCCCCGTTAGGCATACCAACGCTTAACCAACGCTTTGTGGTACTAAATGATTTTTTTTTTATAAGCCCTACAAAATGGTTTAGAAAGAAATAGAAAAACTGTATGTTTTAGGGTCAAAAATGGGAAATCCCTATTTTATTATTTAACGAAAGTTTACACGTTTATACCACATTTCATCAACATCAGATTATATTTGCTTGAGTTATCGTGCTGACGGACATATATCTAAAAATGTGGACGGGTGGTGTTTTTGGCTGTTATGACCCTTCAAAACGAAAAAGTAAATCGGTCCTGGTAGTCTTACCACGAGACCTCCTATTAGGCTATTAGGTATAGCTAATAGCCTATACCTTTGAATAGAAAATACGCTTAACAAACTGATCAATTTGTACTGAAACAATAGAAACAAATCAATAGGCATCATTAAACTATTCATCCAAACCCGCGTGATCTTCCAGAGACCGCTCATATATAACTAATTTTTGTTTTAAGGCAAAGCACAAGAAAATTCACAACGAATGTTGTATATGCAACACTAGTTACTAGGCCTACGTTATTGTTTTAAATTTAATCATCATTATTTAAATACGGTCAAAATTAAAGATACTTTTATTGTGAACTCAACAAGGTAAATAAAACTATTTATTGTTCTTATGAATTTGATTGACTAAATAGATGATAAATTATATAAAACAATATTCACAATAACAAATATACAATAATAATGAAGTGATAATAAAATTCCCAAAAAAACAAAGCTAAGTTTTTGGTTTTTATTGTAAAATAAAACAGTGCACTAACGGAGCAGAAAATATAAAGGCTAGAAACAACTATGTATTAGAAACTATTTGGCAATTTCCTGAGCCGTCAATATATTACTCATGCTTAAGTTTTATTTAAGACGGAAATAGCTAGCTCATTTCCTGAATCGTCTTTATGCTATTACTCTAGTGATTCAAAGAATTGGCTGCAATACATTTTGTTTAACTTAATATCTCAACAATAAGAATTCTATTCTTGGAAGGTCACTATCCCATCAGTTGCCCTCTCAGTAACGGAAGTGTTTCCTCCCCAAAGCCATTGCCCTTTGCACCCCTCCCCCCACCACGGCACCTAAGTCATCCTCCTCTCTTACCCACGGGTCAGGTACTTTTTGGGGAGAGAGGTATTCTTGGGGGGAAAGCTAGTTGGTGTGCGAACTGAAGCCTAATGAAGCGTAAAAGGGTTGGACCCCGGATTAGGGCCAGAGCTCGCCAGGCTTCCGTTTCCCCTGAGAATCAGAGGAGAACTAATGTAAAAATGCATAAAATAACTCAGGTTTGATAGCAAACAATACGTTTACTTCCTGTGAGACTTCCGACCTACGTACCATTCCCACACTCCACAGCGCAACATACACAGCGCTTAGTTTATTACTCTTTGGCAATATTGCCGTAACGTAACATAACATGTGTAAGTTGCGGTGACGAGTTTAATAATTCGGTTATTTCAAGTCTCACTCCCACACAACAACTAACTACCGTATCTAGATTGTCGGTACAAAAACTAGTTGTTGACGCTTTCGTCAAAACTATTATCACTAATAAGGTTTATATTACCTGGCTACTGTCTCTGATCCTCGGTATAGTTTTAAGAAACTACAGCTGTTTCATGCCTTACATTGGCACATCATCAGGTTTAGTGAACGCCAGCTTTTCTATAAAATATCCCTCGGAGATGAGATCGTTATGGTTTTACGAAAAACATGTAGACATTTACACACACGAAAACACGCACGAAACATTTAAACACTAATAATTGAGAAACTACTGCGAAACGTGATGCAGCGCCGGTGATGGATCACCAAACCTGATGATGTGCCAATGTAAGGCATGAAACAGCTGTAGTTTCTAAAAACTATACCGAGGATCGGAGACAGTAGCCAGGTAATATAAACCTTATTAGTGCTAATTTTAACGATCCAGTGGCCAACCATCATGAAAACTATTATAGTTTTTCAAAAACGGCTTTCTGTTCTGCGGATCTGTCCGCTGCCGGCTGCCTTGGCATTGTCGCAATGAAAAAACACAATGAATATTATTACATCGACTTTGTACAATCGCTTACTGTTTGTGCCACTGCGACTTTGTTAATGTCTACACATGAGTGGATACTCTGTAGATATGTCAGTGTGGTGGTAGTCAGGTAGACATCAGCAAAGCGACGTCGAACATCGTAGTAATTTTAATGGCGGTTGATCAATTTCGAGTCTAGGCTAACCTAACTTAGAAAACAGCTAAGCCTAGGATTTCAACGCTTTCATGATCAGTACTTACCATTATAATCTTGTCCGGTGCTTGAGCTCAAGACGCTTAAGTGGAGATGCACATTGGTTATATCTTGTAAAACTGTGTTTTAATAACAAACACAACAAAAAACAAAAACGTAACAAATTAACAAAACGAATACTGAGCTGAGCCACTAGTGTAGGTGTAATTTAGGAGGTATGATTGACACGGTGACGTACCGAGGGAATAGGATGGCAGGAAACGCGAATGCGCGCGGACGCGGTTCCACGCCCACTGCCCAGACTGCATCGCTACAGAGTGCAGAACGGATTTTCCCAACGATTTTCCAGACACACAGTTTGTCCAAGTCTTTCAACTCTTCAGTGACACTTATAGTCCGACATGCGTATGTGCGTGTAACAGTCTACAGTAGACTCCCTCTTATCCGTACTCCTCGGGACCGGGGCCAGTCCGGATAATGGTTTTTCCGGTTAAGCCGACATCCCCAAAAACTCATTAAAATGGACCGTTTATGGTGATATTCAACTTAAATTTAGGAGAGCATTGTACATATTAGACATGTGATCACTGGTCTCAAATATTTTCCACGAGATGTAACAGTCGTTACAGTACCGCCCACTTCCTGCCGATCTGGTCCGGTTAAACCAATGTGCTGATAAAAATTGTACGGTTAAAGAGATGTCATTTCTGTCGAGTGTAGTCCGGTTAAAAGGTGTCCGGATAAGAGGGAGTCTACTGTATTCATGTAAATAAAACAAATGTTAAAAAAAAAAAATCTCGGGGGGGCTATGGCCCCCATGGCCCCCTCTGGAACCGCCACTGCATGTGTCTAGCACACAAGCATGCTTCCCCCTCGATTATCTCCTCTAATCTTACTTATTTCCTGTAATCAATGACAAAATCATGGAATATACAAAATAACCTCATAGGTCTATTGAATATTTTTATATTTAACCAGCTGTTAGTTAAAACAAATTATATTACACTAAAACAAACAGAAGATTTTAAAGATTGCTTAAAAAAATTATTTGAACATAGTATTTTACTATGTTCATTTAATTAATCTGTCATCCTCTTACCGAGGAATTGAATGAATCAATGATTACACAGTATAAATAAGTCAAGCCTATGTATGTCTTTTAATTTTTACCCAAATGCTGAATTTATGTCACAAACGCTGAATGTTTACAGCTTTTATGTTAAGCAAATTATATTATACCAAAAGCTAGTTTAGAGTGTTATCATCGGCTGCTAGAAGATGTAAAAACTAAAACTTAATCTCTAAAAAACTTGAACCCAAAACTAAAATTATGGCTTCGACATTCCCTAGTTCTCAAAATTATCTTTCTTTCAACACAAAAAACATGACAATCCGTAAGTGCTTGATTCAGAATTGTGAAATAAAAAAAACCCTTTTACGTTTTAACATATATGATTTCTTGTATTGATATATTATTAAGTTTCTAAATTACCACTACTATTTTCAGGTCCATGCCACTAAACCCCAAGCTTCTCGTTTAGAGTCAGCTGAGATCTTTGTTGTTTGCCAATATTATTTAGCCCCCGACAAGTTGGATCAACGGTTTCTTGATGCAAAATATGTTTTCAAAGAATTGGAAACTGAAACAGGAAATAAGGTAAGTTATTGAGGGTACTGTATTTGTGAAGATATTATGATAGAAGTGCTAATTATTGATTCAAATAGCTTACTCTTTTTATAAGAATTAATATCAGGGGCATTTCACACTACATTTTCATAAATTATTATTGATATTACTATCACTAAAATCAAGTGTAGAATGTAGGCCTGCATAGGCCAGGCAGCAGTGAGGGCCGCAGCGATGCATCTCAGTGTACGTTAAATTTTTACATTGGGATTCAATTAACCCTTTTGATGCTAGCATTTGTTTTTCTTTCTGAAAAATGCTAGAGTTATTGACCTATTTTATCTGAAAAGTGCTAGGATTGCCTTGGGGGCAAAGTCTAGTGTGCAAGAAAAAAAATCTGTAAAAATAATTTTTTATCTCAAAAATGCTAAGGAACAATATATTGGGCCTTGATCGTATGAGGAATCCTAAGAAACCATCACTGTTTAAAAAAAACCGAGTCAACTGATATGCCCATTTAAACTCACACAGTCAAAAGTCGCGCCAGGGCGATATATCGTCGCTTAGCGCTATTCGGATGAAACACGAACAACGATATACCAAAAGCTAGTTTAGAGTGTTAGTTTAGAATGTTCCATAGCACTTTTTAAGGAAAAGACGCACAACGATATATCGTCGCATAGCACTGAAAGGGTTAATATAATATTTTAATACGGTAATAATAACATTTAGTTTGTAAAATAGAAACAGGATTTAAGTTAAGTCAAACTTAGTTTTATTTCTAAAATATGTCCAATTCTTGAAACAAATGCAATATAATTTCTTCCGATATCTACTGCTCCACTGCTCCTCTGTCACTGATATTGACTTGACTGTGAGATAATATCACTATGTTATGGCAAGTGCAGCCGAAAGTACTCTCGGACCACAATCATGGAAGATTTTCACAAGTTATAGCAAGTAGAGGAGATGGCCTTGGTATACCGAAACCATTTATTGAAGGGAGATCACAACGCTGCCATCACACCTTAGACAGATACTTCACAGCATAATAAAATAAAAAGATATATTTATCTTGTATGCTGTATTCAATCTCTCCTATAAATGATCACATATGGTACATATAATTTTTTATTTATGAATTTTCTCATAAATCCATTTTCCATTTTATAGCGAAAACCCTCATATTCTAAATGCAACAATTTCCAATTCCAGCCCTGATGTTGTTCACATTTCTTACAATTGCAATAGATTTCGTATTGTAAAAGGAATTTTAATAAAAATACAACTTTTGCAGGCATCAGTTTTTCACCCAGAAAAAGGAAAGAAAGCAAAGGCCGAGGGATATGAAGATGATCGTGCAGGATATACCATCTTGCCTGTATCTCAGTTCTTGGAGAGTAGTAATGTCATCTATACTCTTCAAACTACTGCTGTCGTAAGTTCCTGATTTAATGCCACATTAGGGATGTTTTTATTGACTGTTACTATTTCCAGCCGAGTGTTTTGATACAAATTGCTTTTAGCGAATTTCCCTATAGGGAAGTAGCTATTACCGTAGGTGGCACGGTAAGACCTAGACCCGGGACCGATTTACTTTTTCATTTTGATGTCCCCAGAGGCCAAAAACACCATTCGTTAAAATTTTTATATATGTATATATATATATATAGACATAATTTTAATATAATTTTATATATATACTAGCTGACCCGGCGAACTTCGTATCGCCTAAGTTATAGGTTTCCCCTAAGACAGACCGATGGAAAGAAAGTACCGTTCCGTTTAATTTTCAAGATGATCTCGTTCGCATCGCTCAATCACGTCCTGGTTGAAGTTCGTTCGCTACGCTCACTCACCTTTGGGTTGGAGCTCGTTCGCTACGCTCACTCGCCTCTCTCGTTCGCATCGCTCAATCACGTCCTGGTTGAAGTTCGTTCGCTACGCTCACTCACCTTTGGGTTGGAGCTCGTTCGCTACGCTCACTCACCATTGGGTTGGAGCTCGTTCGCTGCGCTCACTTGCCTTCAGGTTGAAGTTCGTTCGCTACGCTAACTCGCCTCCAGGTTGAAGTTCGTTCGCTACGCTCACTCACCTTTTGGTTGCAAATTAGCTGTTGTCATAAATGTAAAAGAAATAATAGTGCTGCACCCTGTTGGTAATCCTTGTAACTTTAATGTTATTGAACATCATAGAACAGAACCAACTTGTTTAATTGAAACAGCTGTTAAGATTCATTAATTCCATTTCTCATAAGGTTAACATGGGAAACTCCAGAGCCACTGGGGTGGAGCCCTTTTAAGAATTTCGAAACGGGAAATAGTTTACGTCCGATTCGCATACCTACAGAATTTACACACCAAATTTCATAACGATCGGTGAAGTCGTTCCGGAGGAGTTTGCAGACAAACACTGTGACACGAGAATTTTATATATTAGATAGATACGTCCGTGAACGCAATAACTTGAGTGATTTTTTTCCGATTTTGATGAAATTTGGTTTAAAGGTGTAAAGCGGGATAAACTTGAATGAGTTCGCGAACCAGCACGATCGGACCATGGGAACGGGGCTTTACGGGGGGTTTTATGGGGTAAAAATTGGTTTTTCTCACTTTTGACCCTCAAAACACAAAATTTCCCGATTTCTCTTTAGACCTTATTAAAGAGCTTAAAAAAACAAATAATTTAGTATATAAAAGTATTTTTGTTCGATTATTAGTAACGTAGTAAATTAAAAAAATTGTAAATTTAAAATTCCCATGTTATTCTTATGGAAAATATTGTCAAATGTTGTAGTTTGCTTGTTTGTGGATATATTTTGATCAAACTTGGCAAATTTATTTATTTTGTACTAAGCTATCAATATTTTACTCAAAAACACACTTTATTAGTTTCCTTGTAGCAGCAAACCTAGGTACTCGTTAAACCTAATGTTATTAAAATATATTTAACTGAAAATCAATTCAGACAAATGGAAATTCGCTTAGTCGGCAGGTTTGCTGCGGCGGGGGTATTTTAATTTATTCATGCTAGTTCTTGCCTGTTAGTTAAAATAAGGGGCGCACAACCTTTTTTTCTTAACAATATTAGAATAATAACCTTGTCAAATTTGATGGGCATTAAATTAATTTAATTTTCTTTCACTTTGACTGTCACAGACTGCTATTTTATGCAAACATAAACATTACTATTTTCTATATATGGTATGTATATATTGGATTAAATACACTCTTCAAAGAAATCAATCAAATTGTTTAACTAATTTTGAATTTATAGCATCTTCTTCAATTAAAATCCAAATCGATAATTATAAATGTAAATGTTGTGTGTTAGTAAACAATGAATAACACATCCATAAACCCATGGATCAATCTTAAACAATTTGTTCAAATGTTAACACTATATGAAATTAAAAGAACTTTTATAAAATAATCATTATAGTTTATTGTGTTAATCTGTATTTTTTAGATTGAGTTTGATGATGAGGATGTTGCCAATGACCCTCGCACAACTCCTGAAATCAAAGAATGCTGCAAGGATATCAAAGTCCTCGGAAGAAAAGATCTCAGGATGCTAATGGCATGGTGGAAAGCAATGAGAGGAGGTGAAGATGAAAAGAAGGAGGGGGGAAATAAGGAGAAGATGAATACTGAGAAAGAAGAAGAAGGGGAAGAATTATCAGAAGATGAAAAGGAACTGGTAGATGTAGAACAACAAATTGCATCTTTGCAGGTTTGTATTCACTTTAAAAAGTTCATTTTAAAATACTACTAGCTGTATTTTTTATTTTAAAAATTAAAAAAAGAAAATTTTAATGTTTTTTTTTAACATTTTGAATAAATAAATTGATAGATAAGTGATAACTGTTTATAATTTGTTATTTTTTAATGTATGTTTTTATTGAGGTTTACAAGACAGGAATGTGTATTTTGGGACTGGAGGGAAATGCCTGCTATAGATCGTGTACCACCGTCTCTTAAAGCTTCTCAGCCGACTCTAAAAAACTCAAGATTTTTTCCATTATTCTACATTTTCATGGGTATTATTTTCGGTTTAAATTTTATTACTATATTATAGGGGTTTGCGGGTCAGACTTTTTTGGTTCGGGTCGGGTCGGGTCGGGCCGATAATTTTGGTCCTCGGGTTTCGGGCCAAAATCGGGTCGGGCCAAAAATTATTAATTTCCGGATTTTTTTTCTTTTAACTCCTATCTGTGTTTAATATTACAACATGTTTTTAATGGAACTTAATATAAAAGGATCATAAACAAATCAATTAACCTTATCACACGTTTAGTTCCTGGCTTCAAGACTGCAAGCAAGAAGAAAATAAAAATTCTATGTTTCCACCATGCAATATGAATCGTTCATTCCCTGCCTCCTAACCTCCTAAGTATAAAACCCTCACACTTACAATAGCATTATTAGTTACATCATCATAACTAAATAATTATCTATTATTGGCATTAGTAGGCCTTCAGCTTTACATAGGAATTATTTTTTATAGGGCCTAAAATAGTAATAGGCTAAGCAACATGACAAGTGGAGAACTCATTGAAGAAAAGATTTGTGTCAAATCAAACCAAATCAAACATCATTTATTCCAAGAAAAACAAAAATAACAAAACAGTATTCTTAATAATAATGGAACTTCCCCACATAGGCGAAGCCTGTGCGTGGGGAACGAGTTATTATCAGACCATCCATATTATACAATCTAAACATCGTTTTAATAATAATTATTACTCTACATACTAATTACACATTACAAAAAAGGGAAAAAACAATTATACCAGGAAGCCACAGCAGATAACGAAAGTATTATGGAAATATCTAAAAAGTGCAAAGATAGAGAAAAATCTATAAAAAAAAATTAAAAGAAAGTAATAATAATAAATAAATGATGTGTAAACTAATTTACTATAAAACTCTAAAACAGTAAATAACACACATACATTTTTTATGGTATAGTTATAGTAAAGACTAAAAATTGCATATCATGTCATACACAGTATTAACATAGATAAAACATACCCCCTTGTGGTGTGTTAGTCTATGGTTATAGACCTACAGTATTGCAAGAGATTAAAATCCTAAAACAACCGATTTTTATAGCTAATAAATGAAAAGAATTAAAAATCCATAAACTCAAGTCAAGCAATATCACAATTAATTAGGTACCCGAAAAGGAACTCTTAATATAGCCTATAGAAAATTATATTAAATCAAGAGAAAAGAAAGTTAAATGCTAATTTGGCAACATAAGCAGACTTTAGCTAGACTCAAATGTACTCAATGTTTTTATACTGCAAGTCAATGTTTTTGAAACTGTAGGGTCTTTTTCTCGGAAGGAAGGGTAGTAGAATGTAAACAAAAACCATGGATCACTCTCACAGCCAGGTCCGGCCCCGGGAACACTCAAGGTTACAGACGCGCCCCCTCCCCTCCCCTCTTACACAACCGCCAGGCCCGGGACACTCAAGGTCATAGACCCTCCCCCTCCCCCACCCCTCTTACACCACCCAGTTATTCCAATTGCTGACAAAATGCAAGTAACAAAACAAGGAAGTAGAGACAAAAAGATATATTTCTTTATTCAAAAATATAAAACTGTTACAGACAATTTCCAAAGAAATTAATTCATGGTAGTTTGTGTCTTGTAAATATTGTATTGGATCTTCTAGAAATATCTTTTTTGAAACTCAATCTAACTTATGAAAAAAATAATTTTACTGATGAATACTTTCATAAAATTATAAAATATTTAGGCGTAACCTCTTTTGTAGACTTGCTAATACTTGATACTTTAAAAAAAAATGAAATGGTGACCATACAATACGGAACCAGACGATCAGAAGTGTTGTTTTGTTTTGTTACTGAATGACAAAAAGGACAATAGGAAAATAAAAGAACAAGATACAGATCTGTACACTATCAGATACTATTTCTTTTGTTTATAATTTATTATGTAAAATACTAAAATATATTTTAAACTAGGTATGAAATAAACAATAAATAATTAAACTGGTACCTCTGGATAAATAGTCTTTCTTTTGACTTTGTTTTCTTTGCACTGTTGCGGCTTTTGTCAGTAGACGACTGGCTCTGGTTCTGGCTAGTGGCAGTACGGCAATTGCTCTGTTGTGTCTTTGTTCTTAAGTGAGCAAACTTAATATTTAATTCTAATTTTAACGTTTTAATTCCTCTGTAATAATATATAAAGGGTGTCCCAGTAAGAACGCCGGATTTTAGGAGCGTCTTATTCTTATCTGTATTTCGATAGGAATTTCCAAATTATTAGTGATTTAATTAGTATTAGGTCCCATTTGTAGTCATGAATCGTTACACGACGGATCAACACGTGGTCATAGTTAAAGTGCACTACAAGTACAGGGAACGTTTCGCTGAAACGGTGCGGAAGTTGCACGCAATTTTCGGCCGAGACAATGCACAAAAGTCGTCTGTCCGAAGATTTATTTCTAAGTTCGAAGAATTTGGCTCAGTTTTGGAATTAAAAGGCCAGTGCGCAGTCGGGCAGGTCGCTCCCTTGAAAATATTGATAGTGTAGAGGACAACGCAAGAACATCGATTCGTCGGCGTAGTCAGCAGTTAGGCCTAGCTCGGAGCACAGTACAAAGAATTTCTGTATAATACATGTTCCCTTACAAAATTCAACTCACACAAGAGATCAAGCCAAGAGATCTCGTAAAACGGCTTGAATTTGTAAGATAGGTGGTTGGAAATCAAGCTGAAAATGACATGTTTTCAAAAACTTTGCTGTTCAGCGATGAAGCACACATTCATCGTGCGATTTAACACCGAGTGACTACTTTCTTTGAGGATATTTAAAGTCGCTTGTTTGCGCCAATAATCCTCAAACAATCCAAGACATGAAGGAGGAAATTATTCGTGCCATTAATAGAGTTCAACAGCAAGAAGGTGAAAAAGTTATGGAAAACATTGTCAAAAGATGTCGGGCTTGTTAGCAGGCAGCAGGTGGGCACTTAAAAGACATGATAATACATTACTAATCGGAGATACTACGCTTTAAGATTCCTGTTTCATATTGTAATTTTAGCATGAAAATATATGGTTTATTAACATTTTAAATCCGGCATTCTTATTGGGACACCCTTTATAAGAGTGTTTCTTTGAAAATAAATTATTATTATTTTTGGCCCGACCCGATCTTGGCCTGAACAAATCTCTGACCCGACCCGGTCTCTCGGGCCTTCCGCTGGCCCGACCCGACCCGAAAACATCGGGGACCCGCAGACCCCTACTATATTATTGAAACTCAAATTAACTGTTGTGGCCTTATTCCCAAAAAAGAGCTGGAGTTTTTAATGTCTTGTTACTAGTGATGTGTCTATACCAAAATTTTGTGATTCTTGATACCGATACCTGAAAAATCGATTCTCAAGGTGTGCTGGCCTGACATTTTCAGTCAAGCCAAACTGGAGGTAATATTGTGATCGCCAGCGGTGGTGGAAATATCATCTTTGTCTTCTGGGACACTGCAAAATCCGAAATATCTTCTTCAATTACGGAATCAAGAAAAAATCATAAAAATATCCAGCGGCCATGTAGAAATAATCATCAACTCCCACGGTCTCGTAAACGTCATAGTCGTCTTGCGTGGTCGCAGCAAAATCATTTAACATCACCCGTGGCCGTGTAGACATTATCATTGACTCCCGCAGTCACAGAAATGTCATCGTTGTTGTCTGCATTACGGCAAAATTATGAACATCTTCCGCAGCCGTGTAGACATCCTCATTGGCTTCTCTGATCGAGGCAAAGTCATGAACATAGGCGGCTGTATAGACATCATTGACTCCCGCGGTTACTGAAATCGTGAAATGTCATCTTCCTCGTTCGCGATCGCTGTAAAACCATGAACATCTTCTGCGGCCGAGTAGACATCATTATCATCGTCTATCGCAGTGACGGAAACGTGATCGTCGTCTTCCGGGATCGCGGGAAAATCATTAACATCTTCCACGGCCATGAAGACAACATCATTTACTCCTGCGGTCACGGAAATGTCATCGTCGTCATCTGCAATAGCGGCAAAATCATGAACATTTCCTGCGGCCGTATAGACGTCATGGTCGTCTCCCGCGGTCACGTAAACTTCATTGTTGTCGTCCATGATTGTTGCAAATCATGAACATCTTCCGCGGCTGTGTAGACATCATCGTTGTCTTCCGCTATTGCAGTAGAATCATGAACATCTCCTACGGCCGTGTAGACGTCATCATCGTCTCCTGCGGTCATGAAAACGTCATTTTTGTCTTGTGCGGGCGGATATCAGTAACGGAATCGACTTTTGACGATCGATTCTCAATACCGATACCAACAGCCAAGTATCAGTGGTATCGATAATCGACACATCCCGACTTGTTACAGAGCACAACTAAAGACCAGGGCCAAACAATTTTTTATTGTGATTTTTTAATTCTAAATGTTGCCCAAACACTTAAAAGAAGGTATACAACCGAACTATGAAACTTGTATTTGTTTCCTTAGGAAGAAGAAGCCAGAGAGTTGAAGAGAAAAAGGAAAAGAGCCAGTAAAGAACGAGCAAAATTGAATGAAAAACTCAATTTAAAAATGGTTGTAAAAGGAGATCTTGGTCCTAAAGATGAAGATATTGAAGTTTTCAGTTTAAAACAGATTCAAGACTCTAAAGTAAGTTATTTTCTGTAGTGTAGTGACTAGTAATATAGTGGTTAAACTACTTTCAGCAAATTTCCCCTAAGAGTCTTCTTCACCCCTGCAAAAACACTAAAAACATGCCTCGGACGTCCCTCGCTCTGGATGGAATGTGTAAAGATGGAATGTTAAAAATTTTTTCCCCTACAGATTAATGTTGGTTCTTGGGCCCTCGTACATGATATATAGGGGGGAGAGAGACGAGGGTGATAAAGACTCTTTAAAGGAATAAGCTATTACCGTAGGTCTCATGGGAAGCAGTAGACCCGAGACCTAATTATTTCTTTGTTCGATGTCATCAGAGGCCAAAAACACCATCCATTCAAATTCATAAATTATATATGTATGTGTGTGAGTGTGTGTCCGTAAGCATGATAACTCAAGTAATATTCAACAAATTATGGTGAAATTTTGTATGTGTAAACTTAAATTTATTAGAAAAACATCACGAACCAGAGCTTGATCGGACCATGAGAACGGGGTTTAATGGTAGGTTTTACAGGGGGATCTTTTTTGTACACTGAGCCTAAGTCAGATACAAGTTTTCTCTTTGCGTATCGAGCCCAGGGAGACTCCAGGTATCTCCTTAGGCAATTCTCTTTGCGCTTTTTGGTGAAATTTTTTGAAAATTATGCTTTTGCTCTAAGAGGCTTGTAAATTGTAATTCTATCTCTACCGTCTGAGAAGTTTGAGTCTTGTAACACACAAAGTTGAATGGGTCAGAGTTATGACTTCCTGATGCTTTATTATTGAATATTATTGCACTCCATTGTGAACTAAATGTCTACGTTATATTAGTACTCACTCATTATACGACGTGGCACTTAAGTACTGTAAACAAACATGTTGTTTCCTATGGTTGTATTGTAAATATTCTATTATGGACGTATCAAACATTTAACTGTCCTGGGTCTTTTTTCCAGCCTGTATAAATAGTTTTAAAGAATGTGTAATTTTTGAAGTGTAAAAGTTGATTGGTATCTAATCTAGCCTCAGCCAATCTTGAGTATGCGCGGAAGAGTAGAAAAGAATGGAGGCAAAGGCAAGTGGTGGCATATTTTCATAAATATAGTATTACTTGGTGAAACCCATCAACATCGACGGTTACTTTCAAGGCTTACGCCAATTCATCTAACTGCGATGAATAGAGTGAAATAATACAAATATTGAGCATTTAGCTCTTTAGCTTTGTTAAATGAGTAATAAGTAATAATGTCTATTGCGTTACTTACAAAATATTGGTGATCATTCAATGATTAAAATATTTCGCATACCGTACATCATCGGAGGTATTACTACAATGTTAACTGGTTTCTCTTCTTTTGGAAGAACCTTTAAATAGTATTAAAATCGTATTGGTCGATCTTTTGTGGTAAACACTTCCGTGATTATGTCAGCGTAATGCAGATTAAATCCATGCTTTTATTTGAGAAAAAATATGTTTGTCGAGAAGGCACGTTCTTACCTCTAAGGGAGGTCCACCCTTAAGCTGTGTAAGTTTGATTTTTCTTTCTCACGTTAGTCATCATACCGTACTTTTGTGCCAGTTAATAACCCTCTAGGTTAGTTTTGAGATATTAGTCGTGGGTTTACTGTTAAAGCTGAAATTAGTCAGCCTTATCAATTGGAAACATAAAGTTGTCAATATAATCTCTCTTCGGAATGTTAGGTGTAGTGGAATATTGTTGTGAAGCTGGATTTCATTCTTTAACTGTTAGGGGCCTCGTTCATATGGTCTCGCGGCTTCATTGGCAACAAATAATGCAAATGACATAGCAATGCTGCATTCCAAAAAAGCAAATACTGTAAATTGGTTGTTAGCCTACATAATTAGTGACGTTTACATGCATTGTTGTTAATCAACGTATCTTATAAAGGATGATGAGTTCTATTTTAAAAGTAACATGGCCTTTCTGTCATGTCAGTAGCTGCTTAAATAGTAATTACTCTTTGTGCCATTTTTTTACAGTCTGTAGTGTTATTTAAAAAGTCTCGCGCGCAAGTGGGCCACGGTCTGCAATATGTCTAAGTTTTAAATTGCTTAGTACCTAGAGTATATGGGAAAAGTGCCTAGAAAAGTACCAAATTTAAACCAAACCCTATTTTATTTATTGCTTGTGGTACAAAGGTGAAGACAGAGACTCCAAATTGGTAAAGGACAAATTAAATCACTACTATTATTTATTGGACTATTATTATTATTTACTATTTTAACTATTACTACTAGTTTTTACTACTACGTACATTTTTACATTTTTTTTTTGTTTTTTTTTACTATTACTATGTTAACTATTTACTATTATTACTTATTTAGCTATTTTTACTATTTTTTTACTATACTATTTTATTATTTATTTATTTATTTATTGGACTTTTAAATCAGCATAGCCTAATAGGCCCAATTATAACTTAAGTCCATCAAGATCTACATACTTCAAATTGAACTTTTATTCTAAATTTAATCCTCAAATCTTATTTTATTATATTAAATTCAGTGAAATCATTTGGCCCCTTTCTTTGGATATTGACATACCTATTGCAATATCCTAAAAAAACTTAGCATATTTCAGAGCAACAATTAAATTATGTGTATTTTAAGTTAAAGCCTAATATACCATTCAAACCGGCACAACCACCCCTCCCTGGGATTTAAGAGCTTAAATATTATATTTTTTATTTATATGTTAATCACTTATAATTGAAGAAACAAACACGTGAAACTATTATAGCCTAGAATCTTTTCATCCACTTTGGAAGCCCCGCCATTTTGTAAGTTACCATTGTTAGTCCCCATAGAATTCAACCAGTATATTTGTAATTCTTTTAAATCTTATATTGTAACTTACTAAACCTATTTATTTATTCGGTAATTCATCTATTATAAAATTAAAATTAACCTCAAAATTATACAAATAAATAAAACACAAGTTAGGAATGATCTTTATTAAGAAATAATTAAAAAGTTCAATATGGGCTAAGTAATATGGGTATGGGCAAAAAATAATAAATAGGCATATAGAGAGCTTTACTGTGTGTAGTAACCCTTGCTAATCCTTTTGGAAGGTCTGGAATCCCTAGTGTGCAAAAGCAGTAAGACCGGTTTTATAAGGTAAAAAGTGGGGTTTCCCATTTTGACCCTCCAAACAAAAATTTTGTGATTTCTTTCTGGGCCATATTGTGATAGAATAAAAAATTTACAATCAAATAGTATATCATTCAAATAGTAGTGCATTGTTGAACTTTCCTGGTTATCTGGTCCTTAGTTAGCTAGTCAAGCAGAAAATTTAAAATAAACTGTAAATTTAAAATTCCCATTTATTTATTTTTTATACTGAAAAAGCAGTAGATGTTTGAAGAAACTATTTATTTATTTGTAACTAGCAGAGGACCCGTCCTTCGTACGGGGTTGGCATATAAGTTTAAAATGGTTATCGCAGTTGTACTCAAGCTTTGCGTTTGCAATGGGGGAAGACATAGTATGATAAAATTTGCTTCTTTAAATTGACGGTATACCATGGTATTACACATCTACCATAGCCATAATGTTCTACCACTTCACCTTAACAATAAAGAAAAAAAAATTATTTAAATATTCGCAAAAAAATTACAAATTATTCATGACATTAAAAACATAAACATAACTGTAAACAATCCTACTTTGACAGTTCTCATTGCGTATCACAGTTTTATTAGTTTAAATTACCTGTTTACATAAATGCAAAAAACATTAAAGTGCTGCACCCTGTTGGTAAATCTTATAACTTTTTAATGCCTTTGCCAATCATAGAACCACCTTTTTAGTTGAAACAGCTGACTAAATTATTTAATTCCCTTTTAATAAGAATACTCATAAGGTTAACATGGCGAACTACAGAGCCACTGGGGCGGAGCCCGAAAGGATTTTTGAGATAAGAATGTGCCTATATGTTAATCGGGAATGTGAGCTATCATCATGCCAAATTTCAGCCCAATCTGTCCAGTGGTTTATGCGTGATTGAACTTCAAACAAACACACAAACTTTCACATTTATAATATTAGTAAGATTTTAATAGATAGTAAATAAACTGTTGTAGTTTGCTCGCCTATGGATAGATTTTGTTCAAATTTAGTAAATTTATTTATTTTACACGGTATTCTCAACATTAACAAATTAACAATTAACATTTCACTAAAAAAACAATTTTATAACCTTCCATGTCTACTCATTTAACCGAGCTATTTAAAAAGGTAATAAATTGGCCATGCTATCTTACTAATATTATAAATGTGAAAGTTTGTGTGTTTGTTTGTTTGTTTGAAGTTCAATCACGCATTAACTACTGAACGGGTTGAGCTGAAATTTGGCATGATGATAGCTCACATTCCCGATTATCATATAGGCATATTCTTATCTCAAAAATCCTTTCGGGCTCCGCCCCAGTGGCTCTGTAGTTCCCCATGTTATGAGTAATCACATTTAAAGGGAATTAAAGAATTTAGTCAGCTGTTTCAACTTAAAAGGTTGGTTCTATGATATGAAAAAGCATTAAAAAGTTATAAGATTTACCAACAGGGTGAAGCACTATTATTTTTATTGCATTTATGAAAACAGCTACTTTGAACTAAGCGGCAACAAAAAAAAAAAACTGTGATACACAATGAGAACTGTCAAAGTAGGATTGTTTACAATTATATGTTTTTAATTTCATAAATAATTTGTAATATTTTTCGAATTAATTTATTTTTCTCTATTGTTTAGGTGAAGTGGGTAGAACATTATGGCTAAACTGTGGCCTCCCCCATTGCAAACGTAAAGCTCGAGTATAACTGCAATAAGCATTTTATACTTATATGCCAACCCCGTACGAAGTACGGGTACTCTGCTAGTAGTAAATATGTTAGTGAAAATCCAGTTAGGCAACTGAAATTCCCCTAGTATGCAGGTTTGCTGCAATAGGGGTATTTTTGGATAAGACTAGCTTTTTAAGGTAAACAATTGTGTGTTTGGATATCCATGTGTATGGAGTAATACTTTTATGTAGCCAAGCTATTTAGTAGAATTCTTGCAGCCTTGTAGATATTAAATATGTATAACAGTCCAGCAAAAACAAATTGAAACACAGCGGATCTTTTCCACGTGTTCAATTTGTCGTGTTCTGGTGACGAGATAATATAGCTCGTTTAGTGGAAATACTAAAAGGTCTTACATCTAAACTCTACTTATGTGTTTTGATTTGACAAGTCCAATAATTAATGTGAGTTTTTTATGCATTATTGTTTAAAACTCTCATGCAACATTGATCTATCTAATTATATTACTAATTGCAATTTGTATTAAAGATACGTGTATTAAAGATTTAGGTGAGTCGGTGGCTCAGTTGGTAGCGTCACGGACTACGGGCCCAATGCAGCGATGTCGTGGGTTCGGATCCTGGTCACTGCAGTAAACATTTTATCATTAGTACAGTTCACCTTCTACTGTATCAACTCACTCACCCCTTGCTTCGCTGTATACTATCCACGCTCGCGCAGTTAGTCTATGTGGACAGGCAAATGCAAGGTTAAAAGAGGCCGCAAACCTCTTAACAAAAAAAAATATTATGGTAATTAGCTACTTAATGATTGCAACAGACTCATTTATTTATAAACTTGGTGTTTTTAAGTTGATTGACATTTTATAGAATAATGTTTTGGTTATTAGAGATAACAGTAAAAGTAAAGCTGTGTTTACATGAGGCCAGTAAGCAGGGTATCCTTAGGTTACTTAAAATACCCCCGCCGCAGCAAACCTGCAGACTAATCGAATTTCCATTTGCCTGACTGGATTTCCACTAAAGTGTCTCCTTAAAAATATCACATTTATTCCCTATTTAAATAACATTATTTTAACGAGTTAGGTTTGCTACAACAGGGAGGGTAAAAAGGTATTTTTTTTGTAAAATGTAATAGTTTTGTATGAAATGAATACATTTTCCAAATTTGATCAAAATATGTTCATAAACAAGCAAACTTCAACATTTTACAATATTCTCCGTAAGAATAACATGGGAATTTTAAATTTACAGATTTTTGAAATTTTCTCCGTAACCATTAGGCGCATAACAACTCTTCATACTAAATTATTTGTTTTTTTAAGCTCTACAAAATAGTTTGGAAAGAAATTGCTACATTTTAAGTTTTTAGGGTCAAAAATGGGAAAAACCAATTTTTACCCCTTAAAACCCCCCATAAACCCCTGTTCCCATAGTCCGATCATGCTGGTTCGCGAATTCGTTCGTATAAACGTAGGTTTACACGTTTGTACCAAATTTCATCAAAATCAGATGATTTTTGCTCGAGTTATCGCGCTAACGGACACATATATTAATAAATATATATAAATATATGAATTTGAACGGATGGTGTTTTTGGTCTCTAGGGACCTCAAAATGAAAAAGTAAATTGGTCCCAGGTCCAGGTCTTACCATGAGTACTATGGTAATAGCTTATTCCAATACAATTATTTATAATTATATACAATTATAATAATAATTATAATACAAATAATAAATATTCCCTATAGGGGAAATTCGCTAAAACACCAACTGAGGTGGGTATCGTGCTTGCCTATTGACCTCTTGTAAACACGAATTTAAATTCCATTTATCTGGCCAAGGAAAGTGTTGGTAGAAACTAAAATTTAAAAAATCATAAATAATGTTTTTTATTTCAATCTAGTTTGCCTTATGCTGAAAATCAGGTATTCGTAGTAAGTTTTTGATTATCGAGAAACAACTTCACATAATACTGATATTCAATGACACATAAATAATAAAATCTAATTATACTTTTTTATGAAATGGCGACCATACAAAGTAGGTATTTTAAGCCAAGTATGAATGGAGATGAGTGTAGGATGAGTGGCCCAATCTTGTAGTCTTTATTAATTAGATTAATTAATTAGATCTTTATTAATTCATAATAATGAAAATTGAGTGTAAAAACCAAGTTTGTATTGGAATTTATGATCACTGAACTAAAATCAATTTTCAGGATTTACAAAGAGTGACTGATCAAGAGCCTGAACTTCTTGCTGAATCTGAGCCTGAATCTGATTCTGAACCTCGCAAGAAGAAACAGCTTTATGACAAGGAGGCAACACACCTTGACAGTTCTGGAAAGTAAGGATCTTTAATGAGTCTTTAGTAGGCGGTTTGATGTGTGCGCTCGGTGCCCAAGTTTCAGAAATTCTTTTTTCAAACGCTTAGTACGCAATGAAAATGATCCAGAAGCGTAATAATTTTGATACCGTTGGAAAGAAGTGATTCTGAACTTTTATTTTCATATATAAACAAACCTCGTATCACTAACAGATCAATATAAATGCTATTATAATTTGAAAAATATTTTGCGCGCATAAAATTTTTGAGCCGCAAGTCAACAAAATCTCATAAAACACGTTATCTTGACAAAAATCGACAAGTCGTGATTTTGGCCATAATAGGATGTGGTTTGTACCATTGGAAAGAACTTAAGATGTTCTTTATTTTTGAATAGAGAACTTTGTCATACGATGTTAGGAAGTCTGAAAAATATTTATTTGAAATCAGCTGTTTTGACAGTTGGCCATTTTGCCCAAACCGCTGTCCAAACAGCGGTTTCTTAATCACGAATAAATATGTTGATAATTGACATGGAGTGATGAGAGTCATACCTATTTGAAGCTAAGAAAACGTTCTATCTCTATGTTTTGGGGCCTTTCAGTATTGAGATTCAGGTGACACATTAGGGTCAAGTGATCCAATGTGAGTTGCGTGACCATTTTTATTATTTTTTATAAAAAATAAAACATATTGAAAATGGTCAAGCAACCAAATTATTTATTTTTTTTTTTTTTTGATCACTTGATATGGATTGACCCATTAGTTGTAACTAGAAAAACGAGTTGTTTGCGTTCTGCTCGCCGGAATCTAAATTAGGTTTTCACTGCGGCTACATTATTATCTGTGCAAATGCAAATTTTCATCAGAGGTTAGTGTTTTAGTGTAAAAGCTTGGTAAGTATTATTATTTATGTCAAAATTTGTGTTATTGAAATGGTGATTGTTTAGAGGTTATGCCTATTAGCACAGAAAACATATTACTATAACCCAGAATGCCAACCGCGTGGTAAAAAGCATTAAGTGTTTTGAGAGAGCTTTGCCTGTCAATCGTAGGCAGCGCCACCAGCGTTGCTATGCTGAGTGCATGGCAACGCTGGTGGCGCTGACTACGATTGACAGGCAAAGCTCTCTCAAAACACTTAATGCTTTTTACCACGCGGTTGGCATTCTGGGTTATAGTAGTATGTTTTCTGTGCTATTAGGCTAGGCCTAAATCCTAGTCAAGCCTACAATCGTATGTGTGTCTCACGCCAGAATAATGCTTCTGGAACCTTTATTTATTTATATTTCTGTATTATATATATATATATATATATGTATATTTTCTTGTTCAGAAATATATTTCCTACAAATACATGTAATATTTATCATATTATATAAAGTACAAAAATTATATTTAACTTTGAGTAACTAATTTTTGTTTTAGGAAAAATTAAAATTTTGTTTTTCAAGTTATATAAAGTCATAAAAAAGTTATAACTTTGTACAATATGACATTATTCTGAATAAATGTATTGTTACCTTTAGTAATTATAACAGCCTTTGTATAAATTGTATACTTCTGATTATATTTTTATGTTTCAAATGTTCGGGGCAAATTTGTTGATTTTCCCCAAACTCCGTATTTCCCCCCGTAATTCTGGTAAAATAATTATTTGAAACAAATTAACACATTTCCACGTAGAGAAATAAATAGCCTATATTTCATATATATCTTAGATTGTCTGTAAAAAAATGTGTGTAAAAATGCTAGGCATCTGCTTTTGAAAATTATTTAAAAAATTTGAATTTTTTTTAATTTTTTCACATTTTCCAAAAAAAAACACCACCAGGGATTCCTGATATTTTATTTTATTCTAAATCTTCTTTCTTTTCTGAACAAAACAAGTATGAATATGACTAGGTTATCAACAGTACTTTAGGCACTGCGAACTGTTAAAAAAACCTCAAGCTGCAAAATGACCAAAATTGCCAGGGCACCGAGCATTTTAGCATAAATCAGTTCAGGGCAGTCCTAGGGTTATAAGTATAAGTAGTAGTATAAGTTAATAAGGGTTATAGGGTTATAAGTTTTATGTAATATCCCAGCAGTAGTGAACCTGCAGACTAAGCAAATTTCAGTTTGCCTAATTGGATTCATACTAAAATATTTGCAAAAACAATACATATTTATTTCTTATTTAAATAACATTAGATTTAATGAGTACTTAGGTATGCTATTGCTGCTATGGAGAAGGTAGCTGCTATGGAGTTATTTAATGCTTTTTGCCCAAATGTTAATAGTAAAGGGTAAAATAAATAAATTTTAAATATTTGATCAACATATAGCAAACTACAACAGTGTTAGTTTACTTAATTTCCATAAGAATGACATGGGTTTTTTTAAATGTGCAACATAACCAATAACCACACAAAAACGTTAATATACTAAATTATATGTTTTTTGAGCTCCTCAAAATGGTTTAAAGATAAGTTGGGAAATTTAGGGTTTTGAGTGTCAAAAATAAGAAAAGTTTTACAGCAGATGTAAAACAATGCTGCCAACCTCCTGAGATCAAGATATCTCAGCTGTGACTCCCTAAAACTACAATAAACACACTTTTTTCACTGATTGTTAAAAGTAACATAAACAGTTATTTTTTTATTAAAATTTATGTTCAAGCTTGTGACAAGCCTCCAATATTTTTTTTTTTTTTAATAAATATAGCTTAAGATCCGTCTACTAGTAGCCTTTACACATACCAAAATTCATTACTGTAGGCCCTCTTGCTAATAAGTTGTTATTGAAATAAGCTCCTACTGTAGGATAGATAAAGCCTAAAGTCAAATCCAATATGTAACAGTTATTATTTTATTTTTTTCAAAAAACAAGACTTTTTTTGGTTTTTTTTAAAGAAATATTTTTATTATGAAAACTTTGTACATAGATTATTCAATTTGGTATTAAATTAATGATAACGAGCTGTTGGCCCGTCCTACGTACGGGAATTGAGTAGTCAAATAAAATTGAAGTTATGGCAATATATTTCCATTTCTAATCCAAGCAAAGTTTAAGCGGTTAAACATTTATTGTTAACAAATATCTGCCAATATGAATTAAAACATGTAAACATTGATATTTTCCTATTCTTTCCACTTTTTGTGAACAGAAAAATAATTTGCATAGCCTTTCCTTTGAAGACTCGGGGACAGATCATCAATTTGTATACATAAGTGGTTGTAGAATCTTACTTATTTCCTATAATCAATGGCAAAATCACAGAATAATAAACTAACCTGATAATTCTATGAAATATTTTTATATTCAATCAGCTGTTAGTTACAAACTTAAAATTTTAAAGACTGTTCCAAAAAATTAAATTAGAACGTCTAGCATTTACCATGTATATTTAAATAGTCTGTCTTCCTCTTACCGAATAAATGAACGTCTCAATGAGTATAGCATTACACATAGTATAAATAAGTCAATCCTATGCATCTCATTATTATCCAAATGCTAAATTTGTGTCACACGCTTAATGTTTACAGCTGTTACGATAAGCAAATGGAATTATACCAAAAGCTGGTGTAGAATATTAGCGTCGGCTGCTAGACTTTATAAAATTTTAAACTTATTTTATAAGAAACTGAAACCCTAAACTAAAATTATGCCTTCGACAATCCCGAGTTCTCAAAATTATCTTTCTTTCAACACAAAAATCATGAAAATCTGTCAAGTGGTTGATTCAGAATCGTGAAATAAAAAAACCCCCGTCACGTTTTAATATGATGATGATAACGTAGGTTAATTGAAAAATATGCCTACAGCAGGGTATTATTCCTCAATAGTTTAAGGACAGTAGACAATAATTATGTTTATTTGGCGTGTCCTTAAACTTTTTACAGAAACTGTAATCTTTGCAGTCAGGCCAAAAGGGGTTAAGTCATTTTTTTGACATTTCAAGGTTTTTATCTCTTCTGTATCAAAAAAATGCGCCCTTTTCAATGGTACCAACGGTTTAAGTCAGAAAAATTTGCTTTTAGAGATATTCCACTAGATATTAAGGAGCTAAGTACGAGTGTCATGATAAAAAAGGAATAAGTCAGCTTAACCCCTATTTACCAAACAGTAATTGTGATCCAAAAGTGTTAAGATGACATAGCTCTTTAGAGTCAAACAAAAATAAGGTACCTACAACAGATTTAAGTCTGACTTAAATCCTTTTGATCAAACTAAACAACATAAGGTCTGGATAAGTCAGACTTTGAAGTAGTTAAATAACAAAGGTATTGGGTTAAGCCTGGTTGAACTCCTTTTGAGGATTATCTTAATCAACATGATGGTACATAGTGATTACTAAGATTAAACATACAATTTCAATACCGGAACCAGGTTAGCTAGGCTTCTTCATTTTTACTCCTTGTAAAGTAACAGCTGGTAAATTAAAAAAACAGAAACAATAATCCCACCCACATGACTGGGCAACATTAATAAGGTGCACAAATAAGAAGTTCAAAGTAGTTGAAATGAATCAAGAAAATTTTTTGGACTTTTCTGGACTTCTCAGTAAAACCGGACCACTAGTTCTGAAAAAGATTGACGCATCTGGTAACAGGTTCTACTGGAGACCATGCTGTTGGTTCAAATATTCAAGCTCTTTTGGAGAAGTACTGTTCAAAACATCATTGGATGAAAATGAAGTATTCCAAACTTTTTCTATAAAGCGGCGAACCAGACGAGACACAGCCTCGTTTTCTTTGCCAGAACTGAAGAAGTCATATGCTGGCCCTCTTCCTATAGCACCAGCAAAGAAGAGAGATCTGATATCGTTATTGAATGTGGTTCCAACAGTGTTCCATGAATTTTACAAAACCTGAAGACATCAAGCATTCCGGATGAAGATCCTGACCTAAGTGAAATCGACCCAGATGAGGACTAGAAGCTGGACTAGAAAATGATGTATTTCAAGTTTTGTTAATTTTTATCTCAATGGCTAATTAATAAATATTTAGTTTAACAAATAAGGCCAACTTAATTTAAAATTTGATTTTTTATCAATCACTGAATTTAAATAGGCCTAAATGCAATTTTACTTCATAATGTATGATGTAGTTTCCATTAAATAAAGTTTTAAAATTATCAATTGAAATTTTTTTTATATCCAACATAAAAAACGAACTTGTAACAAAAGTTCTTTACATTTTTTTTAAATAGCGTTAAACAGATGGTATGAATTGTAAAAATGTACTTACTCTAAAATAAGAGTTAAGTCATCTAGAATTAGATCAAAAAGACTTATGTCATGATACAAAAGAGTTAAGTCAAAGATCAAAAGGGGATAACTACAATTAATTATTATAAAAACCAAAAATGTGAAACGACAAGTTTAGAAGAATATTTTTCAGATGAATATTGACATAATATAAGTTTATGATTACATTCATATTTTAATAATTAATTATAATAACGCTTTGAAAGTGCGTTATTTTTTCTAGGCCTAACCCTGAAAACTAGCCACCATCTGACTTACTCCCGTTTGGCCTAACTGCAAAGGTATATTAACAAAGACTTATGGATGGATTCCTGGACCAACCGATTTGATGTGGGTTTGAAAATGAGTCTTTGAGTCTTTTTTATACATATTTCATTCTATAAGTTTTCATTTTTCTTCTTCAGTTTGCAAATTTCATCGATTACAGTTCACAATTTTCTTGTTCAGCAACTCACAGAGAAGTCTCAACCCTAACTTTCTCAAATGTTAGCTGGTTGTTTTTTTCATAAATTTCAATAATACTAGTTTCTAGAACATTATTTGAGTTTTCAATCTCTGGATTATGATAGAAAATCTCCTCTTCACATTTGGCACAGTGCTTGTCAGCTTCCTTGACTACATTTTCTAATGAAGGTTTCATTAGCTCGGGCATTTTTGCTGTTTTGTGTTGTCATAGTTAAAAATATTATTCTCACTGAAACATTTGTAGAAAACACTAAAAAACAAGATCAACTTTTGAAAAATGATAAGATATTTACAAGAAATGTTGATTTATATCGAACGCCTATGTGCAGCTTGAATATTTCCATAATCTTTGAGTCGACTCTTTTAAAGTCATCGGAAATTATGACTGTTATTTGTTTTAAAATAACATCTGTAATACTTCGCAATTGCTCGAATCCGAGCAACAGGTACACTAGTTTTAATAAATATCAAAAGCAAAACAAGAAATGCAATAACAAACTGAAGCATAGGACTACTATATAAAATTTACCAACGATGCAATTGTGAAAAACAAGTAAGCCCAGCTCTTACTTAACAGTTATTAAACTTGAGGAGGAAAAGTCTAGATTTGGAGGAATACTGTTTCCCAAACGATGTAGTCTTGGTAGTGTGCTGTTGTAAGCATACCCTGTAGAGTGATGTCCTCTCTCAAATAGGTCCTGGGATCGGGACGGTCTGGAGCAGCGAAATTTGATTCTGCTCAGCAGCTCAGGAGTGTCAAATTCTGCATTGAGAATCTTCCTCAGTAAAACCAGGTCAGCAATACGTTATCGAGAACTCAAGTGGATTAGCCGAAGCTGCTGTTGAGATCCTCAATGGGTACATCCCTGAATGGGTATCCCAGACGAAGTCCCATGATTCTCAAAAAACGGAGCTGCACTCTTTCGATGTCTAGTGAAAGACCAACTGGATATGGGGGCCATAAAGGAGAACAATATTCCAACAAGAGTCACTCTAGCTGAATGAATAACGTCCTTAATGCCCACAGAGAGAAGCCATCTCTGAATACTCTCAGAAATGAAACCAAGGGCTGAGTTCGCTTTCCTTTTTATCCTGTTAACTTGATCATTAGGGTTGAGAGATTATGTGAATGATACTCCGAGGTCGTTGACAGAGGTGGATCTATCAAGTGCGTTCCCATTTATTGAATAGTAAAGAAATAAGAGGTTGTTGATGTTGAGGTCCTGTTGAATGAAACCACTGTGCACTTGAATTCATTCAGAAGCATTCCATTTCGCATACACCACATTGAAATTTGATTGATGTCCTGCTGGAGGCACTGACAATCTTGCGATGATTTCACCTCTCTGTATACTCTGTATACGCAAATAACAATAGATTCAAATCTTTGACAACATCTGCCATATCATTAATGAATATTGAAAATAAAATTGGTCCCAGTATCGATCCTTGAGGTCCACCAGAAGAAGGTTCAAACTCACAAAATTTAGCTCCAGCAAATTTCACAGTTAAAAAGCGATTCTGCAAATAGTCCTCAAACCATGCGAGTAGTAATCCAGTGATTCCCAGTCCACCAAGCTTTGCCACGAGATAAGTGTGACTTACACGGTCGAAATACTTGGATAGATCCAAATAGACAGAACCGACTTGATGGTTACGAGGCTTGCATAATGTCATCCTGGTACAGAACCATATTAGTCGAGGCGGATCGCCCTTTCTTGAAGCCGGCAGGACACTATGACACTGTCCAAAGAGAAAGAGAGTATAAATTAATATATTATATATAATTTATCCAAAGGTTTATTCCATTGTCTGTGCTTATACTGTTTTTACTTAAATTAATCTTTCAATAAGATAAGTTTGACTTATTTAGCAAAGGAAAATGGTTAAAGGAAGTATAATTTACTTAATCAATGTTCTCAATATCAGTTTATGTTAGAGAACCATTGTTTGCTTTTTCTGTTAAGGCTATTTATAGATTTTTTTTTAGTTCATAGATTCGTGACTTGCCATTATGAGTTAGTACAACTAAAATGTATGTAATGACTTAAGCTTAAAAAACTTGAGTTGTAAAAGTAAGTATTAAATAGAATGACACTTGAATGTGTTTCAGGTTTTACAAGTCAACAGACAGTGATCCTGAAATGTCGTCTGATGAGAGCGGTTTTGACAGTGATGCTGAGAGTTTAGGTAAACTGAAGTTTAGAAAATCTCCATGATGAAAAAATTATTTTTACTGCTTTACATTACATTATGACGATATGTTTTGGTAAAGTACACAGTAAGAAAATGAGTTAATGATATGTTGAGAAAAGCATGTTAATTACAAAATGATATTGTTTCAAAAAAACTTATTTCAATTTTAACCAGTTAGTTTTTTGTCTTTTTCCCTTGTAAAACATTATAACCTGATTATGCACATTATACAACATTATACACATTGCAGGAAAAAATAATAAATAGACCTACAAATTCCAATTTATTAAAAGTTTTATTAAAAGTAATGTATAAATAAAAAACTTTTTAAGACAAAACGTTTTTAAACGCACTAAAAAGTAGAAGATAATTTAGAAATATGTGGAGAGTATAAATACTTAAAGATTTAAAACGAAAAACGTGGGGTGCATGCAATAGATCATTTACACCTACCTTCACCTATTGAACTAATGTATTATGATCAATTGCATGCACCCCACGTTTTTCGTTTTAAATCTCACAAGTATTTATACTCTCCACATATTTCTAAATTATCTTCTACTTTTTAGTGCGTTTAAAAACGTTTTGTCTTAAAAAAATTTTTATTTATATATTATTTTCTACTTTTTAGTTTTTAATGTGTGAGGATGTTAAATCTATTTCAAGCATCTATATCAGATTAAGACAGATGCATATGGGAAACCTAAGGTTTATTTGAGTTTCTTTTCATATAATTATATGTATTAGATTGAATGTATGGCCTACCTACTAACTATAAATATATCAATCTATTTAATTTATTGTCTACTTTATAGAATAATAAATAAATAACAATTGACTTTATTAACAAACACAATTATATCTGCAATCAGATTTTTTATCTTTATTTTGAAATGTTTGTATACAGAATCTATTGGGAGCAAAACCTGTACCTCTTAAGCGGCCCACACACTAGCGCGCATGTGCCTTGCGTGGCTCGTGGTGAGGTGACCGAGCGGCTCGAGGCACATGTGCGATTCAATTGGTAACCACACACTAAAGACACATGCGCGCGCACCACCGTCTTTGACGATTCAAATAGTGGGCTATAACAGCAAATTCAATATATATAACATGTTATATTGAAATCATTCACATAAACTCCTTTGTATCGCCCCCATGTAATTTTTACCTACTATTTGTTTTTTGTTTTTGATTTTTTTAACAAGGAAATTTTTTTAAAGTTGCAAGCAAAGTCACTAAAGAATCAAATTTGCCTTCAAAAAAATACACCAGACGTGATTATACTAATTGATAGGGTGAGTTATTAGTTGTATGTACTGTATTATGGTTTTTGTGTTTACAATAAGCCTATGGGCCTAATAGAGTGAGAAATATGGTATTAAAGAATATTAGGGGATGTATTATTTAATATAAGGGTCGTATTTAGAGTATTAGGATAATAGACATAGATTTAATTAGTTTAATTAGTTCTAATTAATTGGTTCACATCGATATGAAGGTCTCAAAGAGTTGATTTCAGTCTCCACAAACGTATCGCCACTGTCAGGAAACACCCTCTTGCATTTTGTTATTAATAACTCCTTAATTTCTTTTCTAATTTATTTGTTTGAAAAGTTTACACTTTTCACGTCCCAATAACACGTTTGTGATCTATAAAAGCTCTATAAACTCAGACCAAAACTTTCTTATGTCATTACAGGACATCTTAACCAGACAACAAAGAAGTTCATAACCTAAAAACAAGGACAAATAAAATACAACACGTGGGGCAGTTAATGTTACACTGTGCCACGCAGGCGCAGACCTTGTATTTTCCGATTTACAGTATATGCAGCTATAGTTAGTACTGCTAGCTCGCGAACATGTGCCTGGTTACACACAGACTGGCGCGCATCATAACAAGCTCGCGCACTTGTGACGATGCTTGAAGGTCCGGCGGCAGGCACCAGGCACCTCGCATGCGCGTCGCGAGCATGGGCACATTTATCCACACATTGAGGCGCATGCGCGTCGAGCTGTTTGCGCGTCACATGTGCGCGCACAAGCGCCCCAGTGTGTGGGCCGCTTTAGCCTCTGCTCTTTGAACTGTCAAATTTAAGTATTTACAGCTGACTTAAACTAATTGATATATTTACATGCTTTCAAAATGTAAACATGAACATTTTGGAAGCCCATGGGGCGTAGCCCAAGGGAAATATGAAAATTAAATTATATAATATTGCATTGTCATCCATTTGTGAGCTATGTTTCAAATTTCAAGTCTCTTGCTCATCGGGAACTTCGTTTGAAATTGATATCAAAATTTGTAAGAAAGCGAGCTAATAAAAACAAGCCCATGGGGCGTAGCCCAAGGGAAATATGAAAATTAAGTGTTATAATATTGCACTGTCTTCCATTTATGAGCTATGTTTCAAATTTCAAGTCTCTAGCTTATCGGGAAGTATCAAAATTTGCAAGAAAGCGAGTTAATGAAAATTAAATGATATAATATTGCATTGTCTTCCATTTGTGAGCTATGTTTCAAGTCTCTAGCTCATCGGTAAGTTAGTATAAAATTGATTGCAAAATTTGTACCGGATAAGAAAGCGAGCTAATAAAAACGTTTTAATAATGTTGGCTTTCATTTTGCAGGTTTTGAAACTGACAGTGATGATGACAGCAAAATAAAAAAAAGGAAAATTGATGTGAAAAATGATAAGAAAAATGTTAAGAGAGTAAAATTTGCTGAAAATGTTGAAACAACTAATAAAAAATGTGGTAAAACTATAAATGGTGTTGAAAAGGATGATGAGGTGGAGTATCCCCTTATAACAGACCTGGACCACAGAGACAAGGTGCAGAAGAAAATATCCAAGGCAGAAATGTGGTTTGAAAAGGTATGCTAATCTTGTAACATTTTATTGTTATTAATCATCAAAATGACTATTAGTTAGTTGTCTTTAGTAGTTGTATGACCTCGGGATGGTTAACGCCTCCAAACGTCTTAATGTCTGGAGAGGAGGGTAGTGATACAGTAACTCCAGTGATTCCTGGGCAACTGTGGCATCTTTTGCAGACTTGTACCTTAAGCCACCACTCTATTGAAACATGCACAATCTCGGCCACCCTACCCCAGTGTGAGTCTCATTGAACATCCTGACTGTCATCCGTCATGAGAACGGCTGCAATGTATTACAGGTGACTTTTTAATCTTAAATCAAGGAACTTGAACTTCCTCTCTATCTGGATTCGATTCTCACATAAAAACAAATAGTTGATTTTGTAAGTAAATTTAGCGTACCCTGACTTCTAATTAGCGTAATTGTTTACTAATCACCTTGTGACTGTATTTGTTACTTTTACTATCCCTAATTTTCACAATTTCTTTTTATAGGATGTATTTAAGAACTTGGATACAGAAGCTGATGAGGATTATGAATTGGATCTGATGGTAGACAGTGTAAAAAAGAAAGGGGGTGTGATTTTAGGAGAAAATGAAGGAGAAAAGCCAATTGAAATCCGCAATAGCCGGTTAAAAAATGGGAAACTACAGGAAGATGAACAAGATAGCACTACTGACAGCGATAGTGATTCCGATTATGACGTTGTTAAAGAATCTGTCAAAAATAGGAAAAAGAAAAAGTCTGAAGACAACAAAGCTGGTTTTGAAACAGTTCCAGCTCCTAAATGTAAGCAGACTAATCTAACATATGAACTCAATTAAGATTAATAGTAAAGCTATCTATAGAGGAGATTCTTGTTTTTTTTTTATTCCTAACATTTTCAAAACATGATCACGATGTGTAATTTTATCGATGTGATTTATTCCTTGATTATTTCTACTAGTCATAGTCATAGTCAAACATCTTTATTCATAAACCATGTACAATGTACATTGGTGGTACAGTGAATAAGTGAATACTGTCTAGTTAGTGTCTATAATTATTAATTACATAAAATAAAAATACAGACTATACAAGAAATAAAAATTTAAACATAAACAAATCCCACTGAAGATATAATTTCTATTTCTGGGAGGTGGAAAACTCACCTAAAGAATATAATACTAAATTTAAATATACTCTTTTAGAATTTTGATAGATCCTATTTTTATGAATTCAGGGAAAAAATTTACAAAAAGGTTACCGTTACCAGCGTATGAGGGGGTTTTTTTTTTATTTGTGAGGCTGGACAAACTCTCTTCCTTTCTGAAATTTTAAGTATGCAATGAATTTATTATTTCCTCTGATTAATTGTTTTGTAGTTTTTCTATTTCAAGTTTTACAATTGGAAAACTATAGAGAATGATCCTAGTTTACTCTCTTAATTTTATGTCTAGTATTTTGTCATTATTGTCACCTGTTTATTGTTTAGTGAGCAAGAAACACAAATTAACAGAAGAAGGCTTGGCTCTGGGGGCAATGTTGGTTTCTTCCAAAAGAACACGTAGGGACTTGTTGGATTCTGGCTGGAACCGTTTTGCTTTTAATGACGAGCATCTGCCGGACTGGTTTGCTGAAGATGAGAAAAAGCACATGAGAAAGGAAGCTCCTGTGCCAAAGGTATTGTGTGTGGCTTAAGTTGTGTTTGAGGACTAAAGGTCCAGACTGTGCATTGTGACACAAGTTGCCCGAAAAGCCGCAGGCAAAATCAAGTCCTATCAAAAGACTTCATACATACCTATGTCATCAATTTATTTCGTTACAGTTTGCTGTAAATTTTACTGTAAAATAACTATATTTACATTCATGAAACTAGACTTCAACTATCTAGTTTACCTCTTTTAGTGGCAAATTTGGATTTACTTTAAATCAACAGTTTTTAGATCAAATTGTTCAGTTTTGTTTAGCTATGGATAATATACTATACAAGTTATTATCTCACTGTTTTGACCATTTCTTTGGAGAAAATGGGGAAAGCAGCAACATTCTCATTATAACCTGTCTAGGTCTCACCACTTCTCGCACTCCATTGGTCCAAATCCCACAGCTTAGAATATGGTGGTGGTAAATTTAAGCAATTTAGAATATGGAAACATTTACTACTTATAACAATAGTTATTTGTGCAACTAGTGAGAAATGTGAGCAATTGACTCACTCAAGAGAAATCCTTACTCACGAGTTGTAGGCGAGTGAGGAATGGTTTGTCGAGTGAGGCAATTGTACTTTGAACTCGAGTTGCACATTATACTTTTCCTACAGTTACCATAAAACAAATAAATTTGCGAAGAAACATAACCTATTTTTACACAAAAGTGAACTTTTAATATAACATTTAATGTGAAGTGACAAATACAACAGTACAACAGCTGACCAGCTGATTTACAGCCAGTGCTGCCAACGTATTTCGCGCGCATACGACGTTGCCTGCAGGTTACGCGCTCACTATTTCGTGCCTTCACGTTGCAAATCTGGAGTGAGACAAAGTAATTAGAGTGAGACAATGTTAACATTGTCTCACTGATGAGCGAATTGGCCACTTTGCTTTCTCAAATCAGTGAGAGAACATGTACATTGTTAGGTTACTGTAGGAAAAATTATTATAATAAGGAAGAACAATGTACAATATGTATAACTATCTCATTAGAAGAGTTTTAGGCAGTTTATTAATTGTGTTTTGAATGTTAAGTTTTATTACACTTAACATTCAAAACACAATTACCATTATATTTTACTCCTCCGAGTCAGTCTTCTACCTATTGTGGATTCCATGACATTCTTCTGAAAAAGGAGGCCACGCTGGGGTGAAATATCAACTTAAATGTGTTGTTAACTATTGTGTAGTATTAAACTGCTTTGATTTTTCTGATGTTAGTTTGTTGCGTTTCTGGTCATTCAATTTTTCCAAAGTATATTTGTAAGCTTTCCCCAAAACTTTGAAGTAATATAAGTATTACTTTGTCAGGATTTTCTCTACTCATTTTCATATCTAGCTGTTGGACGCAAATTTTAGAAGAATTAGTACTAACTACAAACAAAACGTTTAAACTCATTGTTTTTTCATGTTATAAAAACAAATTATACTCCTTAGGAACTTGTTGATGACTATAAGAAGAGAATTCGAGAATTGAATGTAAGGCCAATCAAAAAAGTAGTAGAAGCTAAAGCTAGAAAGAAGAAGAGGGCAATTCGAAGAATGGAGAAAGCAAAGAAGAAACTGGAAGGAATAATGGATCGGCCAGATATCACAGAACAGGAAAAGAGACAGCAAATAAAACAGTAAGGATCATTTAATGTCTAACACTGAACACCTTAATTATGATTCTTACTGATATTACAGTTAATGCTCTCGTATAAGCATAGACGAAATCTTAAATAGGGTAATATATAAATTAAGACCATTTGTACTAAGTTTTTTTGAATCCAACAATTTTTATTTTATTAAGTAGCTAAAGTTAAATTATTCAAAGGGTATATTCATTACCAGGGTCCAAAATGACTCTTTTCAAAATAAGATTTGAAATGGTAGAAAAAGGAGGATAGCAGCTAGCTTACCTTGAAAGTGTGGGTAGGCCATAGAACAAGTAGAAAAATATTTTTCACACAATATTTCGTCCCCTAAGGGACTTTGTCAAGTGTAGAGAGAGTTTATAAATTACCTCTTTTCAAAATAAGCTATTGCTTAATCTTAATGATCAAGGCAACTGGACAACCACACATTTGGCTCTTGACTAAATTATGTCTATTTTGTAATCGTGTTATTTTTTTTTCTCAAAAGTTACTGTGTGAACAAATGTACATTAATATCCTGTTGTATTTTGTTGCTGTCTAAATTAATAGTCTGTAAAATAACAAAAATATAAATTCCCAAACTATTTTTAGTAGGCTACTAAAAATGGATAATTCCTTATCACAAATAAGACTGCCCTTAATTCTTTGATTTTATTGTTAAATCTCCCAAGGATTACTCTAAAAACTGATTGAGGGAGTGACTTACTGAAATAATTCAGGTTTTGGCTCATGCCTTCAAGCTTCATAATAACCAAATAGTGTCATTTAAGTGGGTTCTACCCAGCAGCCTGAATTTCAATTCAAGATGGTGGATTATATGGATTGAAATATAGTTTGGGATTGAACATGCCTCTATTGTAAAAGCTCTCCTCAACATTCTAAAACTAATTTGTTTTCAAGTTTCGGTTGACGTGCTTGGACCACGAGTCCACCCCTCTCACAATACAATAGATTACATGACAATACAATTTGTGTTCAATGATTGTGTGCTTTTTGTGCATATTAGAGCTTGCAAAAAATGGGAAAAATTAATTTTTAACTATTACTTAGAAGTTAAAATCACATGTAAAAAGACTTATTTAGGGATTTTCAAAATTATTTTGTAAATACTAAAAGAAACAATTACGAAGCTTCAGTCCATTCGGTGAATAGTTTGGATCTTTGTTAATATTAATTTACAGTTTATCTCAACTCTATACACTTTAATAATGCCACGAGGTTCTTTTTTGTAGGGCCATGTTTACGCGGTAACTAGCCGGCGGGTGGAACCCTCTTAAGGGATCCCTCTTGTGTTCTCCTTACAACCCACCATATCATGCAAGACTGTTAACCTACCCTATGGCAGCATTGACAGTTTGGACCTTAAATACTCGATATTTAATTTTGTTTAATGTTTAGGCTATACAAGAAAGCAAAAGCCCCACCCAAGAAGGAGGTGACCTATGTTGTGTCCAAGAAGCACTTGGCTGCAAAGAAGGCGAGGCGTCCTGCAGGGGTCAAGGGACCTTATAAAGTAGTAGACCCTAGGATGAAGAAGGACATCCGAGCACAAAAGAGGGTTCAGACGAAAAAAGCAGGATCCAGCAAGAAGAAAGGAGCTCCTAGAAGGCCACAAAAGAAAACAAGAAAATCTAAAAAATAGGCTGTGTAAAAAATGTTTATATTCTACTCATTTTAAATAAAGTTTAACACAAAACAAATCCATAATTTTTGTCAATTAATTATAGGCAATCCTAGTAGTATATCAGACCTTCGAGTAATTTGAGATTCTCGGTAGGCCCAACAACCTCGGTTAATCGAGAGTATACTGTACTATTTGGAGTATACTGTGAGTGGCTCAGGCCTGGAGTTCTCACTCTTGTTCCTCTGTACTGTTATACAATGAATCTATCCATCTATCTATCTATGTATTATCTATTATTTATGTATATCTAATATATAAAATTCTCGTGTCACAGTGTTTGTCTGCAAACTCCTCCGGAACGACTTCACCGATCGTTATGAAATTTGGTGTGTAAATTCTGTAGGTATGCGAATAGAAAGTAAACTATTTCCCGTTTCGAAATTCTTAAAAGGGCTCCGCCCCAGTGGCTCTGGAGTTTCCCATGTTAACCTTATGAGAAATGGAATTAATGAATCTTAACAGCTGTTTCAATTAAACAAGTTGGTTCTGTTCTATGATGTTCAATAGCATTAAAGTTACAAGGATTACCAACAGGGTGCAGCACTATTATTTCTTTTACATTTATGACAACAGCTAATTTGCAACCAAAAGGTGAGTGAGCGTAGCGAACAAACTTCAACCTGGAGGCGAGTGAGCGTAGCGAACGAGCTAACCTGAAGGCAAGTGAGCGCAGCGAACTAGCTCCAACCTAAAGGTGAGTGAGCGTAGCGAACGAGCTCCAACCCAAAGGTGAGTGAGCGTAGCGAACGAACTTCAACCTGGAGGCGAGTTAGCGTAGCGAACGAGCTAACCTGAAGGCAAGTGAGCGCAGCGAACGAGCTCCAACCTAAAGGTGAGTGAGCGTAGCGAACGAGCTCCAATCCAAAGGTGAGTGAGCGTAGCGAACGAACTTCAACCAGGACGTGATTGAGCGATGCGAACGAGATCATCTTGAAAATTAAACGTAACGGTACTTTCTTTCCATCGGTCTGTCTTAGGGGAAACCTATAACTTAGGCGATACGAAGTTCGCCGGGTCAGCTAGTATATCTATATATTAGGCAAGCATGTTTCTTTAAAACCTTTTTTCTCAGCTTGTGTGCATCGCAGGGAAAATCTACGCATACTGTTGGAAGGATACTTTCCTGTAGATGTGCAGAATCCCTTTATAAATTAAAATATGCTCAAAAATAAACACAATAAATGATTTTGAAATTTAAAAAAATTAACATAAGCTTTATGGGTTGCTTTATGGGGGTGATGAAATAACAACAAAATATAAACGGAAAATCTAAACAAATGTAAAAAATTCCAATCGTATGTTTTATTTACAGTGTGGGGTGAAAAATAGAGAAGTCTGTACACTAGATATTTTTGCTCAAGTTTTCGACCACTAGACGACCTCTAGTTATATTGTCCATATATACACATATATATGTTTTCATAAAAGTCAAGTGATTTTAAAAGAATATGACTACATCCAAGAAACCTTAATAAAACTTTCATCGAAGGATTTGCATTATTCACATTTAAGGGAAACAAAAAACCATCTGAACAACATTAGGCCTTTCAATTCTGCATTTTTTCAGGTAAATATAACCATTGAATATACACGTATACAATTGAGTACCTATACATGTATACTCAATGATATGACTTACGTTATAACAGTAACTAGCCAAATTATTGCCAATTGAAGAAAATACAATTGCGATAGAGAGGTTGTGCAGAAAATCAGGCAGTTCTTATGTAAACAAAATGTTATCGCTATAAAAAAATTACTGAAATTTGTAAACGTACTGGCGACAATGGGTAGTACATACCATGCAGACTACATTCATTGACAAAGATCAACATGGACAACCTAATGCGATAAGTGGGAAATATTTGTAGAATACACTAAAAAACCAGATCAGCTTTTGAAAAATGATAAAATATTTACAAGAAATGTTGATTATATGGAACTGTTAGGTATGTAATCTATGAGTTGAGTATTTTAAACTATTCGGAAATTATGACTTTTATTTGTTTTTAAATAACTTCTTTGCAATTGCTCGACTTTGAGCAACATGTACACTAGTGACTAATTAATCATATAACAATCAATAATAACATTACTAATCTAATGGTAATTAAATAATCTAAATTCAAATACCAGTATCCTCTCCAACACCCAGAAAAACAATTCAACTACCGTACTTGATGCCAGATTAACAGAATCATATTATTATATACTGTAGTATCAAAAATATTTTAAGTATTGCGACCATTGCAACTGTCCTTTCAAAGTATTGGGTATAAACGAAACCATACAAATAGATTTAATTGATATGCAAAACTATGCTAGAGAGAATTCTGGCAATAATTATATTTTAACTTTAATAGATACTTTTTCTAAAGAAGCTTATGCTGATCCGCTGAAGAATAAGACAGGGTTGGTGGTTACAGAAGCCATTTAGACCATTCTACCAAAGGGGGTTAAAAACATTCAATCTGATAATGGAAAAAAAAATAAATCAACATTTTAGCAAACTAATGAAAAAATTTAATATTAATCACTATCACACTTTTTTTACAACTAAGGCTGCAATTGTGGAAAGGTTTCAGAGAACTTTAAAGAATTGGTTATATAGGGAATTTAGTGCTCAGGGGAGTTATAAATGGTTGGATTTACTTCCAAAGTTAATTAGAAAATATAATAATAAAGTGCATAGGTCTAGAGGAATGAAGTCCAACCAAGTGAATGTTAAGAATAGTAAATATGTGCATGAGAGGTTGACTTCTAAGTACAAGTTAAAAAGCCAAGATATAAGGTGGGTGATAGTGTAAGGATTTCCAAGTATAAACATGACGTGTTTAGTAAAGGATATACACCAAATTGGAAAGGGGGACTATTTACAATAGCAGAAGTTAAGAATACAAAGCCTGTGACTTATATTTTGAAAGATGAAAATGTCAATATAATCAGGGGAGGGGAGGGTTCTATACAGAGGAGTTGTTAAAGACCAAGTATAAAGAACATGTATTTGATAGAGAAGGTAATTAGGAAAAAGGGTGATTTATTTGTTGTATGTCAAATGGCTCCTATTGCCCCTACTTATATGCACTAAACTTCACACAAACCATCCTTGAATAAAGCTTAATAATGCCTAAAATTTTCATTACAATCACTGTAGAGAGGTTTTTGGAGTCCATAAGGTAAATACATACATACATACAAACTTCTTCTTTTATAAATTTAGAAGTGTTAACCTTGATAAAATGTTGGAAATACATTTATTTCATACTAAGCTAGGTATTAACTTTTCACTATAAACGCACTTTATAACCTAACACATAGCATCAAACCTGCGTACTCTTTGAACCTAATAATTATCTAAACAGGGAATATACCTGGCTTCTTTAAGGAGATATTTGAGTGAAAATCCAATCAGGAAATGGAAATTCACTTTGTAGGTTTGCTGCATAGAGGTATTAAAAAAAATACTTTTGGTTAAATTCAAAACATGTTCCGATATTTCATATTTAACAATTCGTCTTTTTGGTTAAGATGTTTTGATGTTTAACTAGAGCATGGAAGCTCGGGGTGTAGCGTTTTTGGATGACAAGCCATTAGCCTCCAGCCGGCCGGCCGCATGCACATGCCCAGGTATCTAACATCGAAGTAAATACAATACAAATTTACTTCGATGATCTTATACCGCACCGGTGTTGTCATTAAACCACCACACATAACAACAGGTCTGTGGTGACGAGAAGTTTAAGAAATAGTTATTTGTGCAACTAGTGAGCACTTTGCACTCGAGTTGCACATTATATTTTTCCTACAGTTACCATAAAACAAATAAATTGAGAGAACATATGTACCTACATTGTTAGGTAACTGTAGGAAAAAATATGTAATCTGAACTTTTGTTATTGTTTAGACAACTCTTGAAGCCATATGCCATTCTCTCTCAGTTCTTCTCTTTTAAACATACTGTACTCCTCTTTTCTCACGCTCTCCGCCAACCCTGACGATAGTTCCAGCTGAATCGATTTGACTTGTTAAACGAGGCGATTCTTACCTCCCCCCCCTTACCTCAATCACTCATCTCCTCGATACTTGCTAATGATCTCAATATCTAGATCAATGTGAATATGGGAAATGTGTTTGTCTACCATTGTAAGCGTCATTTATCTTTTAAAGATACTCAGGGTCTTCAGAATCCACTCTTAAAACGGATTAATACAATTTTTAAATAACACGTTTAAAAATATGAATTGTAAATAATTTACTACAAATTTGTGAAGTTTTAGATCTTATAATGATTTACTAATCGATTTCTTAAAAAAATATTTCCATAGTTTTTTTTAGCTTAAATGAAACAAGATGCCTAGTAAATTATGTAACTTTAACTTAAATTATGTCAGCTTGTAAACTGAATATTTTACCTTAACATTCCTCGCGCTTGGCCTACCAATGTGTTACACAATTATCATAAAACATAATATAGTGAACGCCTTAACAAAGTAAATATAAATCATTACCATCTATAATAATACTGTACTTAGCAATCCATTTCGGAGTTAGGTTCCTGTTGTACAAAAAGAAATGACACTTGCTGCCAAGTGGTGATTGCTAAACACAAGTCTGCAGTCAGCACCATTGTTATCAACGACCTTGACCGCCGAATATTATCACAATGGCCAAGCATCTGCAAGGTCACTGATAAGCTGATAACAAGCCACGCGCGCTCGTCTTCCGGACTCCGTAACAATGTTCGGTAGTTTTCCACCCTCTTTGATTTATGGAATTGTCGTTCAATAGAAAAACTGTATAGACATTGAATTGTTTTTGTTGGTTCGGTTATAAGTTTGTAAGTTACGATAAATGCTAACACATAATGTATAACTATAGGCCTATTATAATAAACAATTTTCCGAGTAGTAGAGAGGACATTGGCTTGGCATACAAGTAGAAGTAGGTCAATCACAAGGGCGGCCGTTGCTCTAGTCACTGTCGCGGTACAACACAGTATTTTGCTGGTTTAATTTGCTGCTAT